TCCTGTAGTCACCGAACAACTAATGAGGCACAGTTAAAACAGAGAAACTACAAGAACCAGATAGAGCATGCGCAGTGATCAGTCCTTGAAGCAAATGATCTTTCTTTCATGTAATAGATCATTCTTACTATGGAAAGGCGAAGTAAATACATCGTGATGATAGTAACAAAGCACAACTTGCCAATATATTACCATGATAAAAACAAGAATTCAACTCGCAACTAAAACTATTACAAAAATGACTGGCAATTTATTCTCATAAATTATACTAATTAATAATGATGTCTACCTCCTGGCATGACCCCAGTGCCTCCAGCAATACCAGCTGCCGTATTTGCCACTAGGTTTCCATAAAGATTAGGAGTGACCTGCAAGATATGAAACAACCTCTGTCAATGGAATGGGAAAAGAAAGTATCTACTATTAACTAACAGGTAAATTCGAAAAAAAAGCAGAAAGGCATGCATGTATTTCAAATTTCAAAAGCCAGATACCTATTTTTTAGCTGGGCAACACAGACAGGTCTATTGGTTAAAATGAAGAACAAGCATGATACATCAGAAGCTTAGGGTTTGGCCCAAGATTCAGTTTTTTTTTTTTCCTTTTACGAAAAAAAAACAGGAAAAGAAATCCTATGCACGATACTCCTGCATAGCAGGGGTATACTCAAGCCCACCCTCCCCCCTCCATAAGGAAAAGAAAATGAGATTCTAAATAAACAAATAATAACAAAATACCTTCATCATGAATCAAAGGGAGTTTATGATACACATATGATGCAAACCCATGACACAAGGAAGAGGAACAAAATTTTGATCCTAGTTAAAACAGAAACTGAAATTGCACAATAGAAAAGAAGGTAGCAGAACAGATTGTTGGAGTATTACAGTTTGATTCCACTTAAACGAACTTGTTCAGAGCTGGAGCTTCTTAAGAAATAGAAAGGCTGTACTTTTTTCCATTGACATCATTTCAACAACCAATGAAAACAGAAAGACAAATACCGTTAATATTCAAAGAAAATTTATTTCATATTACACCATTAGTCACAGACTTATCAAAAATTCATCAAGTCACAGCAGTCAACTTCATGTCAAACAAGTACTGTGCAGGAATTCCAAGTTCAAGCACAAAAAGGCATCACTCCTACGACCAAAAAAAAAAAGGCATCACTCCATGAAACCTGAATTTTGCCAAAAGTCAAATAATTTTATGTTCCTTCACCCAGGTTCAAGATGTAACAGGATGATAGATGATAACTACTTGGAGGGTAGCGCCCTCTCTAGACAGCAAGTCTATTTAAATAGGTTTTTTTTTTTTTTTATATATATATTTTTAAAACTCACTTCTTACGATTAACACTAAGCTCTCAAATACAAGAGAAAGGACAGAGTTTGTTGCTAAACAAACTCCTACTCACTAGGCAAACACATCTCTGCTAAACCAACTCCTACAAACCCACGTCAGACCAAGTCCAAAAAGCAACGAAATTTTATCCAAACTTATTCAAATTGTAAAACAAATGGGAAGATTTGAAATGAAGCCACATACCATAACGTCAAATTGCTCGGGCTTCGAAACAAGTTGCATGCAGCAATTGTCCACAATAATCTCATTGTACTTGATACTTGGGTACTTGGTAGCAATCTCTCTACAAGACTCTAAGAACAACCCATCTGCCAGCTTCATAATGTTGGCTTTGTGCACAGCAGTCACCTTCTTTCTGTTGTTCAGATACGCATACTCAAACGCATACTTGGCAATTCGCTCTGAGCAAAACTTCGTGATCACCTAACCAAATTCAAAATCAAATCCCAATTTTTCCCAAAAACACAAACCCACAAAAATTCAAGAGTAAAGATTTGATTTTTGACAGATTATCATACCTTGAGGCTCTCAACGACGCCGGGGACGACCTCGTGCTCGAGCCCCGAGTATTCGCCTTCGGTGTTCTCTCTAATTACGACAATGTCCACGTTCTCGTGGCGGGTGGGGAGACCGGGGAGGTTGAAGCAGTTGACCAAGGAAGCGTACAAGTCGAGCTCTTTCCTCAGCTGGACGTTGAGCGAGCTCACACCCCCGCCGACTGGAGTCTTCAAGCCGCCTTTCAGGCAGACCTTGTTCTTCCGGATCGACTCGATCACCTCCGGAGGCACCCGCTTCAGATCGCCGTGGACGTCGTACCGCTCAAAGTAAACCGGAGCGTGCATCGCCTCCATGACTTGCTCGACGGCGTTGGTGACGAGTGGGCCTATGCCGTCGCCAGGGATCAGGGTGACGGGCCGCGGGGCTCCGTCGCCGGGTCGGGGCATGTAGGTGACGGATCTTGTGTTCGGGTCGGGTTTGGGAAGGAAGGGTCCGGGCGTGGAGCGGTGGGTGAGGTTTTTGAGGATCGGGAGGGTCCGCCGAGCCATCAGGTTAGGGTTAGGGTTCTGGGTTTTCTGGAGGGAGGGGGGCGTCGTCGGGTTTGGGGAGGGCCGAGTTTTAGCAGAGGAGTTGAAGTTGAGCTGGTGGTTGACTGATGGTGGGAATAGGGAAATGTTAGTAAATTAGAGGACTTTTTTGCAATAAAGCCACGTTCTAGTTTGCACTTTTGGGTGGACCTTTTGGTCTATTTGTCAATTGCACTGATCAATAATGCATAGCTCCTTTTTTTGAGGGTATATCTTAAAATTTTAAATAATTAAAAATATTCATTTCTTCTACTTGATCAAGCCTTGGGGATCATGGCTGGAGCTGTTGGTAAGTTGTTCTGCAGCTCTCAACTGATGCCTTTAATGTCTTCAGAACTTCAGATTATGTGTAGCTTTTATGACATTTGCGTTATTTCGAGAATTACCTACTTAAAACTTGCTGCATTTGCTCATATTCATGTTTATAATTTGTGTTGCCTCATCATGATACATTGTACTGTACAACAGAGGAGGCTATTCCGAGTGGCGCCTGCAGGAGGGCCACCGGCCGGCGGAACAGTGTCGTTCAGTGCAGTATGTCCAGCTCTGTCTTGTCACCAATTGGGATATCCATTGAGTTTGAAGCACTTATTTCTTGAAAGTAATTACATTGTAAATTCTTATAAACATGTTTAGTTACAAAAATTACTGCGGTAGCAGTGACAAAACAAATTGCAGAATCAAAGTTCATGTGGTGGGATAAGCAGAATTTACAATATTTTATTGCTCTCTTAGTTTTGATCGTTGTTTCCCCTCTGTAAATCTTTTTTTATTTCAATCATCAAAACAATTCATATGGTATATTTATCTAGCCAAAAGTGGGGAACAAACTATTGACTTGGACGGTGTTGTAACTAGCTCGGTTTATACATAATGATAGTTACAATAACAAAAACATGACTTGAAAAACTTGTTTTCCAATCCTGCAAATGAGGGGGTAAATCGTATAATGTCACATTCAGTCTAAATGAAGAACAAAAATGATTAAATTGCAATATAACTGTGTACGCAACTAAATGAAAAGAAAAAACTCATTTTTGGCAATTAAACTGACATAACATTATTACAAAAATTTACGAAACCTTTTAAAAATTAAGTAACACACTTGTTTAACTAATTCTCTAATCAAATAATCACTCCTAAGGAATTATATAAACAATTTTCTGATGAACTCAGGAGTTCACATGGAGGAGTTGAAGTACAGCGGCTGAAAACAAAGTTAGTTACAGAACTTTGTTTCCACCTAATTTCCCATACAAACAAGCACAAAAATTGCAAACATAATCCAATATTAATTCACATCTCGTTAACAATCAAATCAATCTATTGAAGAGAGTAAGATATTGTACTTCAAACTTTAGCTTTCGAATTTCAGGTACATCAATAAAAGGTAAGACTAGTAAGCTTTTTTCCAACCATAACACTTACAGATCAATGAAATACAAAAGTTACGTGATTGCTAAAGAACTTCTGATTCTGTGAGAAAGTCGACGTAATCCCATCTGAAAACACCATACAGGCCTTAGAAAGAAAGGGAACCACAGAACATACCTGTCCTTATATCACTTAACCAAAAACATGCAACAAATTTATACAGTCTCTTTCACATGGTTTCTTAACTTCCCATAATTGTCCACGTTCATGAGTAAATAACCACTGAATTGCAGGATTTAAGTATCACTGAGTTGAAGCAGCAGGAGGAGCACCACCCAATCCCATTTTCTGCCCCAATAATGCAAGCTGCTCCACAAACTCCTCTCCTGTGAGTATTTCTGTTGTTCCATAGATAACATGCTTGACAGACTGTTGACGTTGTACAAGCTCTTGCAGGCTCCCGTATTCCACATAATTACCACCACCAATCATGAAGACAATAGCTTCCTTAAAAGGTCCTTTCAAATGGCTGCTACTCATTCCTGAGCTTGACTTCGGGGCACGAGGATCAAACACAAGGTAAGAATCAATTTCTGGATTTGGCTTCCCCTCCATCAAGGCCTCCACTGTTCTTGTTAATGCTAGTTGTCTATCATTGGATAACAGATTTTTCACACCTGCTGTCACGGCGCTTATCGATTGCCCATATAGTTTCTCTGCCCAATCGACTATGTTGCTTCTGCTAGCAGAATTGGCTGATGCTAATGAGACATTCAATGCCTTGATCTTCTTCACATACTGAAATGCACGGGTATCGACCTCAGACTCCCTGAGGACTGCTTCCACTGATTCCACTTCTGCCTGATTAATGCTTTCTGAAGAAATAAGATACATGATAGAAAACCGCAGCTTATCCATCTTACTCCCTTTCCCTCTAAGCACACCCAAAAGTTCACTTCGATCAATGCCCCCTCTAACCATCATGTCGTACTCCTTTTTGGCAAAAGAATCAAGCAGCCTCTCTTTGATCTCACTCAACAACACAGTTGCAATGTTGGTGTGCTTATCAATCACCTGCTTCCGCGCGGTCAACTCTGGCAATGAGTTCACTGCACTCATCAAATGTTTTGTGTTCCCAATCATGTCTGTCCCATCAAACTCAGCTCCATCAGTCCCGCCAGTCCTTCTATTGACCTCATCAACATCCCTCTTATACTTATTCAATTGGGTCTCAATCTCCACTGCTACTTCAGGAAATTCTAAAGATCCATTTGCTACCCAAAATGGATCTGAGCTATCTAACTCAAATGACTTCATCCCGGCCTTTTCACCTTGAACACTCAACCTATTAAGCTTCAATCCAAGAACATCATGCACTAATGGTCGGTACCTAAAATCATGCTGTATTCCCACAGATAACTCAAAATTACGATCAAATATACACAGTATCGGGCGCTGGAAAGAGCTCACAAAGTTTCCACCTTCTGTAAACAAATTGTTCTTTGACAACAAGTGGTCACGCAGTCTCTGATCCAATGCTGATGCTACCATCTCGGCCGGTCCACCACGAGGACACCTGATTATTGGGACAACAGCAAGGGTAGCCAAAACGCAGAACAACCCACCAACTATCTTGTCAATAATCTCCTCAATTTCACGGTCCCCTGCAGAGGGATCATTCAATTGAACATAACTGGACTTCTGTGCCAATGAGAACAAATTATCTTCCAGTGTCACAAACTCCAAATACTGATCATGCACCTTCGAAATCCGATGAATTGAATCTGAATTCAAAGTCCCAGATGCCAGATCCTCAAGCAGTGGACGGGGAATCAAGGACGAGAAATTGAGATGGAAGCTATCATAGAGCGAGCTGGAGGTGTCAGCAATGATCCTCTGAATGTTGGAATGGCTGGGTTGGACAAAGTACACAGCGGGAACATCGTGAACGGGCTTGCGGTCCTTGTCAATGAGGAAGTAAAGGGTCACACCATGCTTACGAAGGTCCTTAACATGGATCAATGGGGAGAGTATGTTTTGGCAAAACTTATCATAGATCAAGATCTTGTACACCTCTTCGTTGGCCATACCAGTTGCATTAACGGGTTGGTTCAGATTCAACATACGGGTAATACATTCTGAACCCAAAAATCACAGATCAAATTCAATACTTTACTAAAAACTCAGAAAACTAAATCGAATATATGCAAACCCAATCAGACGAATCAAATAAAATTTCGTTTAGCATATGACATTTCAATTCCTCTTTTTATAAGAAGAAAAAAACAGCTCTCAAACTAAAATCACAGATCAAATTCAATAACAAAAACCCACAACAAAGTAAGCAAATTTAATCAACTCCAATGGTAATTCCACTATAAATTTACCTGGGTTTTCTCTATTAGCTAAATGAGCTCTCGATTAATTCCACAGTATTTTCATTTTTACATCCTTGGTTTGGTTGAAACAGAGATCTAGAGCAACTAAATGACCAAGAGAGCAATTTACCTGTTTGCCTTTGCCGCAGATTGAGAGCCATGGCCGTGAAATATATATCCTTCCGCGTAGCAAAGACTCACAGACTCACTAGCAATTTTGGTTCGATTTGAAGTTTTATGATTTCCGAAGAGGTCTGCAAATTTGCGGGTTAAACTTGAGCCCTGTGATGTCAAAGAAAAGTCGTTCCTCTACGGCAGGTTCCACGTGAAGTAGTCTACTCTGGCCAATAGGAAAGCACCACGACATATAAACGATAAAGTTGTAATTATTTCATTGGTGGACCACATAGGCTGACTAATGGGATCTCGTAAATGTCATCAATAAAATTACAAACACTAGCAGAGAGTGTAGATGAGAGAAGAAGCGGTGTGTGATGTGGTGGTGGGTTTCGAGATGGCTGAGACGACGACGTTTCTGAGCAACAGATACTGGGTACTGAGGCACGGCAAGAGCATTCCGAATGAGAGAGGCATCATTGTTTCCTCCATGGTTCTTTTTTTTTTTTTTTTCAATTTTTTTTTCAATTTTTCTTAATTTGTTTTTTGGTCCTTCAGTTTTTGACTATTTTGTATTTGACGCATGGCTAGCTAACATTTCTTGACAGGAAAATGGTACGCGCCCAGAATATCAATTGGCTCCAGAAGGTGTGAGTCAGGCACAGTTGGCTGGGCAATTGTTCCAGAAGGTACTTGCTTTGTGTTTTAAGCATCCAATTTTGTGGGTTTTGCTTTTATGTTTACAACTTTCTTTGGACCATTATAATCATCTGATATGTCTTCTCTGGTCTTTTCATGGTTTTAAATGGTTCTGCTAATTGACCACTGATATGAACAAGATGTAGTGGTTTAAAGGGTTTAATCAAGTGGAGACCAAGAAGGGGGGTGAAGATTTGACTTGATGAATTAACAAAGAAAACCAATAAAAATTTGGAAATGTGATTAGTTTGGTAGGCATATACCATAAGGCTTTATTGGTTGCCTGATGCATAATGCTGATATTGGTTGTTATTTAAGCTAAGAATTATGTAAGTTTAGTTAATGACTGTCTTGCGTTGCATGTCAGGTACTTGAGGAAAATAACATACCGATTGAAAATGTTTGCATTTGCTACTCTCCGTTTTCGAGAACAACTCACACTGCTCAAGTAGTTGCATCTGTCTTGAACGTTCAATTTGAGGGTGCTCAATGTAAGGTAAGGTGGTCCAGCCCCAAAGCTTCGTACTAACTTATCTGTCAAACAAGTGATCCTTCCCCCTTGTTGCATTCATTATGAAGTAGATTTTTCTGGACAGGTGATGGAAAA